GCAGAAGAGTCCAATTTTTCCCTTAGGGGCAGACAGAGGGGTGACTCTGCCCAGAATGTTGCAATAGATACCAAGATGGCCACACTTTATTTCCCATCCCCACACACTTTTTTGCAACATGACCTTACTACTTCCACATCAAGAGGTGGTGTTGCCTTACAGCTTCATCCTCGAATGCCCCCCTCTCCCCACCAACCCCTGACCTAATGAGGTCCCGAGGGAGTGTCTCAGAATGCTCCATGAATGCTCAGAGACCCCATGAAATGATGTCGGTTATCTCCCTTATTTTCATGGCCATGGTACAGATGCACCATCCTGGGGGTTGTGTGTGTGGGAGTATGAAGGCACAGCAGGTGTTGGAATACAGTGGGGCTGGTTGATGAAAATTAGCCATAAGACACTTATCACACGGACTTTATAAAAAAACAAGTTTCACTTCTTTAAAGTTTCACATTGGCCCGATTTGGGGCTCAGTTCTGAAAAAAACTACAGCCCCCTGGCCTCACTTTAACTCTATAATTGACTCTTACGTTTCTTTAACCCTACACTCCTCACACCCCATCACCCTTACTACACAAAACATCACAAGGTGGAATCTATTTTCTCACCCCTTAACTCTGGGTTGGCCTCATGACTTGCTCTAATCAATAGACTGTGACAGAAGTGACACTATGCCAGTTCTGGGCTTAATGCTTTAAGAGCCGCTGGTTTCTACTTCTTCTTCCTCGGAAGCCAGCCAATATACCATAAAGAAACTCAGCTAGGCTACAGACTGATGACAGACCACGTGGAGAGAGGTCCTGGAAGGTGAGAGGCTGTACTGAACCTCCCAGTCCCAGTAGAGTTCCCAGCTGAATGCAGCCATATATGTGACCTCAGCCTTCACTCCTTGGAGCAGAAGAACTGCCTAGCTGAGCCCGGTCAACCCACAGAATGGTGAGAAATAATAAATCATTGTTGTTTTAAGGCATGAAGTTTTTTTCTTTAATTGTGGTAAAACAAACCCAAAAAAAACAAAAAAAACAAACCCACATTATATAAAATGTATCCTCATAACCATTTTTGAGTGTACAGTTCAGTAGTGTTAACTATATTCATATTCTTGTGAAACAGAACTCTAAATGTTTTCATTTTGAAAAACTAGAACTCTCTACCCTTCAAACAACTCTCCATTTCCCCTCCCCCCAGCCCCTGGAAACCACCATTCTACTTTCTGTTTTCCTTGATTTTGGCTATTTTATTTCCTCATGTAAGTGGAATCATGCAATGTATTTGTCTTTTTGTGACTAGTGAAGCTACGACATTTTTAAAAAGTTATTTTTCAGTTACAGTTGACACACAATATTATATTAGTTTCAGGTGTACAACATAGCAATTAGGCATTTATACATACCTTACAAAGTGATCACCCTGACTAGTCTAGCACCCACCTGACACCATACACAGTTATTACAACATTATTGACTATATTCCCTATGCTGTACTTTACATCCCCATGACTATTTTGTATCTACCAATTTGTATTTTTTAATCCCTTCACCTTTTTCACCCATCCTCCCAACCCTCTCCCACCTGACGACCACCAATTTGTTCTCTGTATCTGTGGGTTTGTTTCTGTGTTGTTTGTCAAGCCACTACATTTTGAGTTGATTTGTTATTCAGCAATAGCTAAAACAAAGGTGGCATCAGGTTTTAAACTCACGTCCTCCCCTGCAACCAGCCTCTGTCCTCCAGGGGTGGCAAAAGGCTACCATGGCTGGAGTCAAGATAGCAAACACAGGAAGGCAAGGAGAGGCCTTGCTGTGCCTCCAGCCATACCTGTTTCTGCCTCCCTCACCCGATCCTGTCCCAGGGGCACTCACCCAGGATACCCGCCGTCTGAAGGCAGTAGTTCCTATCTTCCGGGCAGGAGAGAGGGTCGCAATGGTGGAGGTCTGAGCAGGTGAAACAGGTGGTGACCTTAGTCTTGTTGTGAATCGAAGTTGCATCGGGGCCTGGGGAGAGAGGAAGATGAACTGGCTGGAGGACTGCCTGGGTGTGTGCGTGTGTGTGTGCGCGCGCGCGCGTGTGTGTGTGTGTGTGTGTGTGTGCGCGTGTGTGTGTGTGTACATTTCTGGGCATCTTGGTATGTGCCTGTGACTGTGCAAATATACCACGTGTGTGCTCTTCTTCCATGGTACAGTTTGTGTGTACGAGCATGCAGGCCTGTTTCTCTCTGTGCACACATGGTTGAGCATGCCAATGTTGAACTCGAGTAGGTGCGAGTAGGTATCTATGTGTATATCCGTTTGAAGAGAGCATGTGTTTATGTGGATGTGTGTAAGGGTGGTTTTGTGTGTGTGTGTGTGTGTTTCTGTGTCTGTGTGTGTCTGTGTTTCCAGCAAAGCTTGGGGTGCTTGGATGTATACACTGGTGTACAGATGTGACCGTTTGTAGATGTTAGTAATCTGTTTGTGTGTGCATACGAATATTTGGCGCTATTGTACGTTTGAGCAATTTGTACCTGTCTCTTTCCCAGTCCACCTGTATAGCTCTGACAACCAATGTGGCCCTGCACAGGTATGTTATGTGTCTGTAGGGACTGTAGATGAAAAAGTTCCATGTCCCATGTTCCAGTTGTTAGAAATCCCATTTTGCCCTTTTTCCTTTCCATATTGTAAATTCTGAGTTCCCAGGTCTGCCTTTTTTTTTTTCTTGTTGTGATCCTTAGTTTAATCCACTGCTTAGTTTTGAAAAGTAAAACTCCTAGCAGCTGGTTATCAGAGGATGCGAAGGTGAGAATGTTCCCGTTTTGCCTGCAGACTCAGCAAACAGATCCTCTTCTGCCTCACAGAACCGTCCTTGCTGTGGTTTCCAGCAAAAGTGTCTTCCATGTCCCCAGAGTTAAGGAACTGCTGCTCTACCCGGGTTTGAAAATTGCCTTTCTCACCTCTGAAACGTCTGTAATTCTGTCCAGTTGTCTCACTTAGAAAGCTGCTGCCCTGGGAAGTACTATCTCAATTAGCACCTCTCTTTTCTGGAAGACAAAAACTATTGTCAATGTTCTTTGGTAAGCCAAAAGAACATGGTTGGCAAATCTTCTTTCACAAGTAGGGAAGTGAAGAAAAGAAAGAAAAGACCATCATATTTCTCACTTAAGCCAAATTGAGATCTCTAATTTCTCTTACACAACAGGATGGTCGTGTTTAGAAATGGGGGCTCTTCTGTAGGTGTGTTTTGGATGCCAGGATATAAATGCGAATATTCGTAGATGTGTGGATATGTGCCAGTGGGAATTCCTGCTCCTGGGTGTATCAGGTGGTGTGTGTGTGCATGTGTGTATGTGTGTGTGTGTTTAAGCATGTGTACACGCATGTGAGTAACTGCGCTCCCTGGGAGAAACATTATGGTAGGGGGGAAGGGAAAACCGGGAAACACACAGGATTGGGGAGGACAAGTGGGATCCAGGGAGGGCAGAGAGGGAAGAGTCTTAGAAGGTCAGGGTTCAAAGCACCTGGCTGGGGGGTTGGAGGCCCGTAGTTGCATTCAGGCCCAGTCATGAGATGAAATCCAGATGTTTCCAGGCCCAGGGTGGTGTTCACTTGCAGTTTGCAGAAATCTGGTGTAGCACATCCCTTCAAGATTTGGGGACTCCCTGGAGAAAGAGGGGGAAGCTGTAGGGGGAGGCTCAGAGCCTTGATGTCTATCTTTCCCTGTCTCTCTCAATAGTTCTGTTTGATTCACTTTCCAATCTGCCTGGCCATTTCTTACAACCTCTTGCTGACAGCTCATTTTTGTGATTCTATCTTTATTCCTTCAAATATATCACCTATAGTTCTATTCTGGAATTGATAACTACAATAGCTGGATTCCTTGTGGGCCTACATCTATTGTTTGTTGCTTCGTCTGCCTCTCATGGTGGCTTGTTTCCTTGTGCATTTTATGCACTCTGATTGTGAACTCATGTTTGGTTGGTGTTGATCTGTGGGAATTCTGGCAGCTTTTCCCTGGAGAGGATTTGCCTTGGTTTGTACTGAGAGCCAGGAGGTGCTACCAATCTGGGATCATTTCAGCCTCCTCCCAAGGTCCCTGGCATATGTGGGAGTCTAAGTATCAGTTCCCCAACCACACTGCTGACCCAAGACTTAGTCACCCAAAGCAGGCTGTTATCAGCACTCGCTCTCAGAGCCACTATGCCTTTCCTATTTGTTCACTGCTCTCGTTCTGATTTTTGTTCCCTTTTAAATTTTGTTGGGGATACTTGGAAATTTCCCTAACTTCCCGTAAGCCCCAACAAGCATGGAAAAATATTTTTGTAGAGCATCTAGTTCATCTGTAAACAGTGGCATACCAAGGGAGATGGGGAGTGGGAACAATCTATCCTGGGAGCAGGCTATAAGGAGGTGTAGTGTTCATAAAGCATTTGAAAACAATAACGCCAACAAAAAGTCAACCTGCTTTTTATTATCACCATATACCAGCATTTCTAAACAATGATAGTGATTAAAATACTCTTCTCTGCCAGGGTGGACCACTCCCACCACTCCTGTTCTCCCTCCCCACCTTTCCAGTATGCCACTGTTTGTGGCAGGAAGACCCTTTAAAGGATCTAGTCCACCAGTCTGTTAAGAACAGAAACCCAGGCCACTTCTCTATCCCTCTGCTCACTTCATAGTTAGTGTATCTTCTAGTCAGTGTGGTTCTATGCTAAGTCTTTTGCTCAAAAAGCCTCTGCTCCAACCATTTGCAAACACATAGTGGGGATTTTAAACTATATCTGCAAATGCTTTGGCACATCAAGAAGTGAGGGTCTACACCTCTTCCCTTGATACCAGATGGGCTTTTGTGACTCTTTCAACTAATAAAGCATGGTAGAAAGAACATGATGTGACTTCCAAGGCTAAACCATAAAAGACCACGCAGCTGCCACCTGGTTTGCTGGAATACTTGCCCTTGAAGTCTTCAGCCGCCATATAAAGATGGTGGCAGCCATGCCGTGAGGAAGCTCAATCTAACCAATGTGAAGAGACCACGCGGAAAGGCCCTGAGTCTACATGTGTGACAGAGATGCTCAGCAAGCCCTGACTTGCCCTCAGCCCTGCAGTTCTAGCTCCAGCCACCACCCTCTGACTGCAACCTTGTGACAGATCCAGGACTGTCCAGCTGAGCTCTTAATGAATTCCCAAGTCACAGAAACCATAAGAGAGCTAATAAGATGGTTGTTGTTTTAAGCCACTATGTGTGTGAGTGATTTGCTAAATAGCAACACATAACCAGAACACACATGCAAATGCACCTTGACACATTTGTGCAGGTGAGCAGGAGGCCTGCCATGCAAATGACCTCCTGAAGGGAGCCCTTACCTCCGCTCCATGTCCCGTTGAGGGTGACACACACAGTCTGGTGTCCGGTGCAGTTCATGACTCTGGTGGAGTCACACGGAGCCAACTTATCTCCAGAACAGTAATGACACTTCATCCCGTTGGGCTGGCCATTGGGTCCTGCCTCTGGTGGGAGTGAGTATAGTTAGGTGGGATGGGGGCTAAGGAACACCCCCTCCAGCCCTCCTTTCCCCTGCAGCCCTCTGTTCTCACTGCCTCCACCCGCCACCATCTGGAGCATTTGCCTCCAAAGTGGGACCAGCTTGGTCTCAGTCACCTCCTTCAGTTCTGGAAGACTTACTCTGAGGAACAGTGAACAGAGCCAAAGATGGGGCTGGCCCCACACTGTTCATTTGTCCTAAAGGAACGAACCTTTGGGATGGATCCTAAAGGTTCTTTTATTCATTCTACAAATATTTGTCAAGCACCTACTGTGTGCTAGGCCCTATTCTGGGGACACAGCACTGACCACAGAGACAAAAGCCCTCCTTTAAAGACCTTGACTTTCAAAAGAGATTCAAAAGCGATCCTGTTATTTTAGGTTTTAAGATATTGTGTGTTCTGCAAAAGCATGGGACTGTGGCTTCCGGGTTCCCCACCATCTGATTAACTTTCTTAGAGAGTTGAAACACTTAAGAGGAAGCTGTTTAAGCATATTTTTCCTGAAACAAAACTAAGCCACAAAGTGGTTTAATGTGGGTTTATATCAAAACATCGGCAGATACTGAAAAGCAGACTCAGAAAACATAACTATAGAACCGTGCTGGCTAATACATGGCCACTGTCCACCTGTGGCTAGTCGGCACTGGAAATGTGGCTGGTTCCTTTAGCGATGTGCTACAAGCATAAGACACCTGAATTTCAGAGGCTAAGTGTGAACAAAGAATGTAAAATAGCTCACTAATGATATTATACTGATTACATACATGTTGAGATCATATTTTAGGTTATCTTACATAAAATATATGATTAAAACTAATTTCACCTGTTTCTTTGTAACTTATTATTATTATTATTATTATTATTATTATTATTATTATTATTGAGGAACAGTGTGTTTTTCCAGGACCCATTAGCTCCAAGTCAAGTGGTTGTTTCAATCTAGTTGTGGAGGGCACAGCTCAGTGGCCCATGCGGGAATCGAACTGGCAACCTTGGTGTTATAAGCACTGCACTCTAGCCAACTGACCTAACTGGCCGTCCCTCTTTGTAACTTTTTAACGTGGCTACTGGAAAAACTTTCATTACATATATGGTTCACATTATATTTCTACTGCACAGTGCTCCAGTCAATCCTCAACCAAAAGACAATTACTCCAAGTATTTCAAGGTAGTCTCTTCGATCTTTCTTCACTCATGGGTCTTTTGCTCAAAGCAGCTTTAATGGTAACTGACATTTTATATTCTGAATAGCACATCCACCTCTCGGCTTGGACCTGGCTGTTTTATTTGGTTGAGGTGCACAGTTTAGGAGGAGAGACACCCCAGCAGTTTGAAAGGATGGCTAGTAGTCCCGAGTGTGCAGCTATCTCAGGTCTCCCCCATTGCTACCCCTGCCAAATACAAGTTCCTTTTTGGAGAAATGACCAAGCCACAAATAGTGATCTTTATCACCACTCAGGGCCAGATCTAGAGTGAGGTCAGTGAGAAGGCACTCACTGTCAAGGTTGTCCAAGTAGAGTCAGCACTTGAGAGCAAGCGTCTCCTTAAACTGTGCACCGTAGGTGCCTTGCTGGCCTTGTCCTACCTGGGCCTGTGGCCACCCATACCATTTCTTGTTCTGCTTAACTTGCCTTCAGGGGAGCCCCTCTCCAGGAGAAAAGAGAGTCTGGGGGCTTTCCTTTAGTCCTCCAATAAGCACAGCTACAATTTAGGGAGTGCTTACTACATACCAGCCTTGCGCTGGTTGCATCCTCTGCAAAACTTTGTCCACCCATTTTCCAGATGAGAAGACAAAGGTTCTCCTTGCCCCCATCAGGCAGGCAGAATTGCAAACCGAGGCCAAGCTCCCATGACACCCCACTGGGTGTATGACAAACCTGGTTGGGTAACCTGGCTGCAGTTGTCACAACAGGCCATGGTGACCCAGAAACTTGAGTGGGGTCCATAGGTCAAGGCATAGACACCTTCACGGCATTCCCGAGGGGACACACATGACCCGTTCTTGATGAGAGTCCCATTTTCTGGGGATAGAGGTTGAAGAGGGGAGATTAGAGACACCACCGCCTCCCCAAGCCCTCCCAGACCTCTGCTCCTCTGTAGCAATCCCCAGAGGTCAATCTGGGACCTCAGCGGGCGTTGAGAGCACCCCTGCCCTGCACCTTAAAAGCACCTCATTCGTGCCTTTGCCCTCTAGCCCCTGCCCACCCACTGTGTCCATCATCTCTGCCCAGCCCCCTCCAGTCCCCACCCAGCTGCATCTGGCTGAACAAGCAGGAATCCTGGGCGTGAGGACAAGTTCTCTCGGTGCAGTTTCCCAGCAAAGAGCAGTCTGGACATGTCCTGGAGGTCCCTGTGAGGAGAGAGGAGTGATCAGACCCTGCAATTTGAGAAGGAGAGAGAGAGGGAGAGAGAGAGAGATTCAACAACAGGAATAAGGACTGGGGGGTGGGAAGGCTATTGGGAGGTCAAGAAACATTTTTTTGAAGGTGTGCAAATGGCTTCCGGTGGGCTAAACAGCGTGGGCCAAGGTTTAGAGATGCGGACGGGTGTCTCTAAGCTGGAGCTGCTGGCAGTCTCTATCTTATCCACCAGCTCTCTCCGTGGAGCTCTTTCTCTGAATAACACCCCCCTTGCAAGCTCAGAGGAAAACAGATACAAGTGGAATTTCCCGACTTAGTCTGGGCTGGGAGGATCACACCTGTCCAGTCAGCCTTCTTGACTTCCAGAGAGGCCCCGAGGCTCTTCCAAGAAGCCTCCAGGTTCTCAGAAGCAGTCTGAAAACTGCTGACCTTCCTCTCAGAGAGGAGGAAACTGAAGCCAGGTGGACTTGGAGTCTCACCCAAAACCACACAGTGACATCCTGGCTAGGTTCTAGGCTGCTTAATTCCCAACCTGGGCCAGCACTGGCTGCAATAGAACCAAGGGGGAGGTAGGCAGACAAAGTAAAGGAATAATAGTTATTATTCCTGACTATCAATAAGAGTCTCACTTCAGACAGGCCTACTTATGGCCCAATACTACTCTAAGCTCTTAAAAAGCTCCCCGAGGGCCGGCCGAGTGGCGCGATGGTTAAGAACTGGCTTGGGACGCCAGAGGGTCCCGGTTCGGATCCCACATATGAGGGCCAGTGACACTGTCTTCTACAGCTAAGATGCTGAACAACAGCTCAACCTGGAGCTGGGCTGCCGTGAGTCGCCGGCAACGGCGTAGGCTGCAGCCCCTGTGGCAGTGGGTTGCCATGGGCTACCGTGTGTAGCCAGCAGCCAGCGTGAG